AGAGATTACAAATGAAGTTAATTATAAATCGTTACTTCTATTATTGCTATTATTACGATTAATTTTTATTGATTATGTAGCAGGAACTCCCCTGCATAAATAATACGAATTATTAATATGTAGAAATAAATGAATGAATGAATGAAAAAAAATCCAGTTGATTTTAAATTTGTAATGTAACGATATAAAACGACATAATAAATATTGTGAAATTTCTCCATTAGTTATCGACCAGGCGACGTTTGTCACCTGCTAGTAATAAAAACATCACAACAAAGATGTGATAACATGTGCTTGACATTCAGATCCATTTGTTGTACCTCGTCATGGAAAAAACAGAACGCGACAGCTCCCTAAATCACTGGACAATTTTATCGATAAGATCGCTAGACACCTGGCAAGAAACCCCCGACGATAAGACGACGAGCGAAGGAGAGTGGGTAAGCAAGGGGCGAGCGCGGAGTCACGTACGCACGATTTCCGGAAATTCGTCATTTATCTGTTCATCCCTGGAGCGGTTGGCCCATTCGTCCCTTTCTCCCGTTCCAAGTTTCGTGAAAGATACTCTGGGGTGAGTACTGTGGGGTAATGGAGACTATAGAAACGGAGAGATTGAGACGGAGTGATATGGGGGATGTCCCGGGGCAGAAACATTGTTAATTTTTTTACGAGAATTTCGAATACAGCTGAATATCAGATAGATTGTCATTCTACAAGATCTATAAATTGCTGAAGTTTTCTACACTCGACAGAGAACCAAAAAATTTTGATTTTCAGGGACATGTTACTGTTTTCTGAAAACATGTCACTGTTCTGCTGATGGATGACTGAGCTCCAGAGTCTATAGGTTTAGATCAATAGCATTCATTTGATGACATCTGTTGGTTTATTTTCATATTCAATTTAGATCTGTACTATCGCTTTATATGTCGCGATTTTGATAACAATGACGCTCGGACGGGTCCGTTGTGCATAATTATTAGTATTTTACATGACTAGTGCTGTTGGCAGTTACTTACAGTCCATGTGAATTCTCTTTTTGCATGTTAAGCAGAGTCAGATGGCCTATTGAAACGATTAATGTGTATAGCAATTCCGCATGTGGACACTACTCCTGTCTTTTACCTCCTTACTTTTTTTTTCATTCCATTCCCATATACCCGATTAGACTTTTTATGGTCCCATACCACTTTCCACCCGTTATTGCGGTGTCATGGGCCGAATTCCGCCCCCACCATGTCACATCGTACCCTAAGAGCTGTACTCCATGTACAGACTCTCTTGGTGACCAAGGGAAATCATGGAAAACCTTGGCCGATATGGACGTCCATCGGCCGGATATCATCGGAGAATGTTACCCCAAACATTCAATCTCAATGATTACCGGTATCTAGACTCCCGTCCCACGGTTTCCGAAAGATTAAAAATCCCAATTTGCCCCAGCTGGACTCGAACCCGCTCCCTACAGGTCCTGTCATCCGGGCCAGGGATTTAACCACTTCGGCCACTGTTGTTGGTTACCCCCTTCCCTAGTGGAAAAACCTAAGGCAGAGGCGTAACATGCCTGATCAGAATTTCGGATCGGACTTGATCAGTTTCTCATCGAGACCTGAACAGAATTTCAACTCGGGTATGAGTCAATTTGAGAGTGAAATTCGTAAGTGTCCTGGTAGCTCAGATGGTAAGAGCACCCGACGCGACATTGGGAGGTCCCGGGTTCGATTCCCGGCTAGGAAGTTACTAATTTTTTCTCTCAAAAAATTAAATTTAATTAATGTCTAATGATGGAAGGCGGAGAAACCCTAGTGGAAAAACCTAAGGCAGAGGCGTAACATGCCTGATCAGAATTTCGGATCGGACTTGATCAGTTTCTGATCGAGACCTGAACAGAAATTCCACTCGGGTTACGGTAGGAATATACCTTTGTTCTTCCTTTAACTAGTAGGTACACAAGCCGCCTACCGTTCTGTAGGCCCGAAATGAGAAAATTGCTCACGTTACGGGCGCACTATACTGTTAAAAGATTTTCATTGAAGTTTCCAGGCTTCAGTCTTGAAACATGAAACAAGTGACGGTTTCATTGAAATTTCAAGGAATTTTACCATTGAAAATTCGTGGTTTTCGTGGAAAATTCGTGGAAATTTTAAATTTCAGTCAAATTATTCCATAAAAATTAATGGAAATTAGGAAAATTCAAGCAAAAATGTCCTTGAATTTTCAATTTTTTGAAATTGCAGAGCAATTTCCTATTGAATTATCATCTTAACATTGAAAATTCATGGAAATTTCGGAATCTTCATGGTTCTTCCACTGAAAAATCAGGAATTTCCTTGAATTTTCAGGGAAACTTGAAGTTTCATAGACTTTTTTCCGTTAAATTGAATTCAGTGTCATTTTCTAGACAATTCGGTTAAATTTTTTTAACAGTGTAGACAGAGATCTATGATCTGATCCTCTTACTGTAGCCCCCCCCCTCCCTGCTGACCAGCGTACCCAAATAAAAGCTGAAACGCATCTCTCCACTTACTTCAAGCGGGCGATGAGAGAATCTCTCGCAGCTTCTGATCTGATCGAATAAATATATTTTGTTATTCCGGCCGTAAAGCAGCGCTTCACGAACGCTGCGCAGCCGAAAAGGACTATTTATTCATTTATTGTTGCTTTCTGGAGAATTTCTTGCATCCGGAGGAAGCGAAATAGTTACTTGAGGCATCTAAAAACGATTCCTTTCAATATTTACAATTTTGAGGTATTTTTCGTATACTTTGAAACATTTTCTGCGCAAAAGTCTCATAGCGTGCCTACTGGCGGGTTAGGATATTAGAAGAAATCAATTTGCATTTGATGGCTCAACACTGTTAAAAAAATGAAGTTTTTCGTCACTCGGCCCGATAAACGGCGCTTACTCGGGCTCTGTCGAGAGGGGGTAAAGAGAGTTTACCGCGGCACTTGAATAATCGGTGCTCCAAGGAGGGTAAATGAGACGCTCGGTGCTCCAAGGAGGGTAAATCTCACTTACCCATCCTAGGAGCGATAAAGTGGGCGTCACCATGTGCCCTGACGTTCCCCCCACTTGGGCATGCGCTCTGCGTTCGGGTAAACGTATAGTCGGATGAGCTGTACAGCGCCTCTAGCGGCCTTCTCTACAACTTAACCCACTAGTGGTAGCCATGTTGTTGTGTGTCATTGAGAAGATTTATCATTAGAAAAAAGTCACTCTCCGAGTTTTTGTTCAATTTAAAGTTGATATTTTTGTTCAAAAAACAACAATTTCTAAAATATCAGTATTTATAACGTCGACTTCTGTTCTTAATAAAAGAAGAAAAATTGAACAGCTGAGTATCTTCTTTTATCTTTGATATCTGTTCTTATTTTCTATTTTTTATGCAATTTTCTTTTCACAGGTCCAAAATTACCGTCATCAACCTACTGTTTTTGGATATTTTGGCGGACTTTACTAGTTATTTATTTTCGCATCAACTGATATTGATTTTATTTCGATTTATTTTTTTCTATTGCTTTTATTTTTTTCTTCAGTGGGGGGGGGCTTCGCCCCCCCCCAACCCCCCCCACCAGGGGGACTTCGTCCCCCTGGACCCCCTCCCGCGCCCACACCCGCGTCGGGCCTTCGTGACGAAAAATAGTATATGCCATTCGGGCGATAGCGTTGGTTTGTGAGTCGTGTGGAGTTTGCAACACTCGGCATGGCAAGCGTCCGACTCGGATCGCCTTCGGCGATCCTCGTCTCCTGCTTGCCACGCCTCTTGCTGCAACTCCACACTCCTCACAAACCGCCGCTTATCGCCCTCATGACATAATGTACTATTATGAACCGTTGACTATTAATTTTCAGGACGGTGACGTTGAATGCGATTTAGAGGAATAAAATCATGAAATTTCTGGTTTCACTGAAAATTCAGTAAAATACCAGAATTTTAAGCAGCCTGAAGACGAGAACTCCTTAATTATCAGTTACGAAACTCCTTGAAATTTCAGTGGTAATTAAATTCTATAAAAATTTCCAAAAAGTGTACCAGAAAATTCAGGCAAAAATTTTTAACAGTGAAGATCTGTCACTGGGAGTAAAATCTGAATGTATGCAAGGTTCTTTAAAATAGATAATTATTTCGCAGTAGCTATAATTTATTGAGAAAAAAATGAGAGCCGGGTAAATTTGACCTAGTCTGCTGGTTAGTTGTTAATATTCAATTCTTCCCCTTCAATAATCATCAATTAATTCTTTAGTTCGATTTTTACGTCATTTATTGGGTGTTTTCCCGCTTTTTTGCAGGCCCTAATAAATACCGAAAATTCTCTGCTCTATTATGACTAAATCCAGGGACTTCCAAATTTCACTCTGATCTCCCCTCAAATATTCATGAACAAAAAGTCAGAATTTTATGATTGGTAAAAATAATAACAGAGCATTGGAGACAATTTTTAGGGAATATTCCCCCTGGATTATACGTTACGAGGTGGTAGAATGAGGGGTGGGTTATTCGTCCTCATGCTCTTCAGACGCGTGCGCGACAACACCAACGGCAATAACCGCACACGCTGTGTCCGTCTGTTTGGTTCAGTTGCGTCCGAACGTAGACGGATGCAGAGATACGGCTTCTCTCTGTGAATGCTCATTCAGAATCCTTCACTGCCACGTGACTTACAATCATTTTTTCATCAAAATTCATAATCAAAAATTACAATAATTAATTTCCAACATTTCTATCAATAAAAACATACCGTCTGTCCATCAGAGAAAATCCAAATATTCGCGATGAAAACAATCGCGAATTGATAAAATTTTGAAAGTGAAGGAAATCCGTAGTTTCGGGGTATTTTATGGCCGTCTCGTGGAATAAAATGTAGAGTAATCCTCTGAGGGAGGGATCATGTGAATCAAAATTTAAACAAGATTTTTCGATGACGTTTGAACCGATGTGAATGAATCCACGTGAGACACGTGCAATGCCAGCGTGGTCAGTCAAAACGGATATGTGAAAATGTGGTTGTGGAGACCAGTGAGAATTTTACGTATTTGTGTACTTCTTGTTTTTATGGGGTGTAGTGATGGCTATTTGAATATTTTCATCAGTCAGTCTCAAGTCATGAAGCTGTTGGGTAAGTGAAAGACATCGTCTATTTTACAAATAACTATTAATTTTTCATTAAGAAAAAGAAATGAAAACGATAAAAAAAAATTTGAAAATATTATTCGTCATTTTGGCTTGTTTATAATCGAATGTTCCTTTTGTTTATGATATGAATGTAAAAATCCACAATAATTTTATCGGAAGTAATAGGCGAAAACAAAAACAAAGAGAAATCTCTGCTCCAATATTTTTTCTGCATTTTATTATCTTGTTTTGCTCTCTCGTATTTCGCCTCAACGGAGGTGCTTTGTTTACCCTGGCATCATATCGCAGGGACACCGTTCCCCTAGAACTCGATTTCAAAGTTTTATATTCCCCGAAAAACCGTACGCTCGGTGTCAGTTGGAATTCACTACACTGGATGTTTTGGTCTCGAGTCTTTTAGTTTTTGAATTTCTGGCTCGATGCCAGTATCACCCGAGTGTGGAACGTAGGACAAACAGGGAAAGAAGACAGTTACAAGATATGTTGTGCCTCGTGTACATGGTTGCAACAATGTAACAGCAAATTTTACGACACACAAGAGTCACTTTACGATGCCGGTTTAACGGTCCGATATTTCATGGTAAAATGAAACAATATCAATGTTTCATTCTGAATTGGAGATTCATATTTTTGGAGACTATAACGGATACGATAAAATTGAAGGACAGAGCTCAATTGGAGGGAATGAAATATATTGCATTTCAATGAGTGATCTAGAATTGGAACATGTTGGGTGGAAAATGAATAAAACATACTCCCTTTTCGCATTTGTTCTACGATAAATATATAAATTAGTTCAATCACTGGACGAGTTCGAACGCCGTTGCATTTACCCTATATTGTGGAATTTTCAGGACAGTGACACTAAATCCGATTTAGGGGGAAAAAATAATGAAATTTCAGCTTTCACCTCAAAATTCAATGTAATTTGGCACTTAATATTCATATTAGATTGGAAATTCAAATAAATTAAGAAATTCTCATCTTTGCACTGCTGAAAATTCTGGAAGTTTACTGAATTTCCAGTGAAACCTGAAATTTTATAATTTTTTTCCCCTAAATCGCATTCAGTGTTACTGTCCTGAAAATTAGAAGTTAACTGTCGATGAAATTTCATTTTTTTTCTGACAGTCTATAACAACCTCTTTATATTTCTAGCAAAGCATTGCAGATTCATGCGAAAAATAATACCATTTTTGCGTTCTATCATTACCGCCGTGATATTATTCATCTGCGTTATCTCTGCAGTTTTGTGAATTTCTGAAAATTTTAGAAAAAAAATGCAGCAAAAAAAGTTATACGGTGCGGTACAACTATAAAAAAGAATCAAGAATTTAGTAAGATAATAAAAAGTTGGTAAGGTATGGTGCCTGCTCCTACGATAGTAAGCAGATGTAACCATATCGAACAGCAGAGAAGTTGGTAAGATCGACGAGTTGGTGAGATGGATTTGAAGATCAAGTTCTGGGAATCATCTTGAATCCTAAAAAATATATCAAAATTTTTATGAGGACTTTTACGTAGATCTCGGTAATCGAAAAAAAGCCCTCAAAGAAAAAGACAGTGTACTGATTGCATGCGAAAAAAACCTCCCAAACTTGTGTGAAACCCATGTTATTCAGGATTTTTCTGAGGGCTGGTTCATTCTGGATTCAGTGTAGTGAATGAGTTTTCCCACTTTTACCTCGATTTCCGAGTACTTTAAATGATCGGATTTACAGCAATGGATTTACAACTCTGAACGAAGTATAGCATGGTGAAATTTGAAAGGCTTTGGTTGATGAAAATAGTTATTGAGGGACTCTTGACATATTATTAGGTACCTAATAAAGCATGAAACATGTTGAACACAACTCACTTTACCCCGTCAAGTGAAAATATCGTTTTTCGTGTTTGTGGCTTTGAAATGTTTCTCGCATCATTTTTTCTTACCGGGTGATCTAAAATTTCAATAACGAAAATTCCGTGGCATACAGACCTACATACACACATACACACACATGCAGACATGTTGTTTAGAAGTGTTTTAGACACCGAGAAACGTGGATAAATCGCAAAAAACTAATGATTCATTTTCAGGGTGATTACAATAACTACCCGATAGATCGGGAAGTTGATAAAATAAATAAAAAATTAGTAAAAAACGGAAGAAATATCATGGTGAAAAATATATGAAAAAAATTGGAGAAAATGAAGAGCTTTTCTTCATTATAATCGTTCGTTATGAGCATCTTATGAGAATGAGAAATTTTTGGTTATTTTTTTCTATTTTGAATTTTTTGTTCTGGAATAACTCGAAAACCATCAGACCAATATCAACCAAAATCTAATCCGGTCTAAGTTACATGAAGACGTATCGATTGGAGAAAAAAAAAGTTAAATCGGACCATTCGTTCACGAGAAATCGTTGACCAAAATTTTGACCACATACGTACAAAGTAACACACACACACACACACCCACAGACATTTTGTTAAAAACTATCGAGGAACATTAGAAACACCTTGAAACGTGGAGATATCATGGAAAATTGATTTTTCATTTTCGGGGGCATTACAATAACTTCCCTGCCCGGGAAGTTAAAAACATCGGGTTAAAATTTCTATTCATAGCTTTGTTCATTTTAGTGCGGTCTGCATTGTATATCAATTTCGAACCGATCTGATCATTTTTACTCGTTTCTTTTTAGTTTTTCAAATTATTAATTCAAATTCAAATTATTAATTCCCCGCCCTATAGAATGCACGTAGGTCGGTCGAAAGATATTTTTTTATTGACTACATTTGTGACAAAAAAAGAGGCCATTTTTTTACTGCAGGACTTTTAAATTTCTATAGTGTCCTCCCTTAATGAAAAGTTAAGATCTTTGAACTACCGATGGCCACGAAAATTTCGTGTTGCACCATACTCCCTCGTTTCTTGTTAATGCTACTGTCCATGTGGAACCTAGGTACAAAAATCCTGAATTCGCTATGAAATCCGGCGAAAAAATTGAACAAATTCACGGAAAGAAATATTCAGTAAAAATTACGGAACTCACAATTCACTGACCGATTACGGAATCAACTCAGAAAATTTAAGTGCCAGTATCGTAATTTTTCACAGGAGATTCAGATAAAAATTACGGAACGCTCCGGAAAAATTCCGTGACAGTTCTGTAAAATTTCTTACAACCAGATTTCGCTCCGAAATTACGGAAAAGTTACGTAATTTTTATTGAATATTTCTCTCCATGTTCACAAGAAAGAAAGGAACTTCGCTAATTGACGAAAAAAGAGATTCCGTTGGTCTTCAGCAATATCGTTAATTAATGCCCAAGTGTCATCGAATGCAAAAAAAACAGAGGACGGTCGCCCGCTTCGCTCACTTCCGGTTAGGTTGCGACGGGTAGGCGTTAGTAAAAGTAGATGTGACCCGTTATGGGTCGAGCCAATAACTTTTCGACTAATTCCCTTCTCTTGGTTTATCAGAAAAAAATCGCAAGTTTCGAAAGTTTGACCTCAATAACTGAGAAAAGACTAAAACGATTTTTATTAAAATTTAATCAGACACTGACTATACTAAAAATATAAATCTAATCGCATTATTTTCATGCGTAATTTCCACATTTGATTATCGAAGTCATGACAATAACTCCCTCTTTTCGAGTCGGGAAGTTAAAAACGCATTAGTTTAATCGAAGGCAAATCGTGACGATGAAATAAAAAAAATGTGTAAAGGCGTCAGATTGTTTCGAAGGGGTTCATTATCACACGATATTCGATATTACATTCTTTCCATCTTCGTACCCTCGACAGGTCCCCTGTACTCCATGACGAGAGGGGTTGGTAGTTGTTGAGTTACTGTATAACCGTGTGGAACGAGGAAAAAGCGATTTCACGTTCCATTTGAAATGCGTTCATATCTAGTACTCGAGAATGTTTATTTCCAATAGGATCTGCTGCGGAGTGCACTGTAACGTACGTCTCTGTATATATTTTTTTACCACACTCAATTTTTCCCTATCGTTCCTGAGGATACAAATTTTTTTCCTCTCGTTTCTTTCTTGTCTCCTCTTCTCTTGAAATTCATTCGACAATAAATTTTCATACTGGATACGCGGTAAATGGAACTTTCGAGTTTTGCGGAGTACATTGAATTATTGAATATGGAAATTTGATGGAATTGAAAATATGCGGCAAAATTGTTGTCATACAATCACAACTATTTTATTGTACAGCAGTAATTCTTACGAGTACTATGGAGAATTTTCAGTAGAATTCATGACAAATATTTTCATGGGAAAAACTGTAAACTTATATCCGTATATCCCTGTTATGAATTCCTATAATTCAATCAATTCATAGAGAATAATCCCAATTCATTCATTGATTCATCTTCAACAAATTGTCCTTAAAAAAATCAGAGAATTCTCTTCATATTTTTGTCATGCGATCGCACAACTATTTTATTGTGGTTAGCGGTAATTCTTCAAAGTACTTTCGAAAATTTTAAGCTATAATATCCCAAGACCTTCAAAATTATCGGATATTTCCCGAATGTTTTGTTGCATAACAACGAGAGGGATCAGTTTTGCAGATTAAAATTTTTTACTCCAATTTTCCTGCAAAACCGATCCCGATCGTTGATATGCAGGAAAACTTGAGGGAAATATTCGATAAATTTTGAAGGCCGAGGGGTATTCGGAGGACAATTTCTTCAATTCTGATTTTGGCCGATCAGGGTGCAGTGTTCGGGGTTACGGGACACATTTCACCAAAATGTGAGGAATATCTGTCAAATTCGTAGAAAACAATTGACAGGCTACAAGGAAATTATCAGTCTGATAATTCCCCTGCAGGCGGGGAAATTATCAGTGTGAAACGCGTCACGTGACCCCGAATACTGCACTCTATTGGTCAAATAGAGTGCACTCTATTGGTCAAAATCAGAATTGAGAAAATTGTCAGTTGTATTGCCTCAAGACCTCCAAAATTATCGGAT